GATAAATCATGGGATAGAAGAAAGAAGGTGTTGGAGAGAGCAGAGAAGGTGGCGATGGAGTTCTTCATGATGCCCATTAGAGGAGAAACAAAAGTATCCGATGATGCCCGGAACCGTACAAGGTTACGGTCAAGCTTTCGTTTTCTCCGAGGATCAGAAGTTGGATTGGTGTAATATGTTTGCTCTCGGTGTCGAACCCCACTTTCTCCGCAACCCTATTCTCTGGCCTTCCAAACCCTCTGATTTCAGGTACTACTACTACTAATCATCAATTCATCTTCTCAAGGGCATTTTTGTCATTTCACTTTCCAATTTTGCGGGACGTTTTCGATTAGTGGGTCCCACGTGGCGGCGGCGGCGGTGGAGCCACTATTAATTTATTCGCTTTTCAATCAGTCTGTGTGTGTAAGCGTGTTTTTTTTTCCCTAAATATTGCGTCGTGTTATTTTTATCGGTATAAACTCATGTATATATATCCTTTTTTCGTGTTCTACTTCAATTTAAAAATCGCAGAAAAAGTAACAAACGTGTTATTAAAAGGGCATTTGTGTCATTTCAGTCCAAAATTGCAGATCGAGTAACAACATATTCGGTTAGTGGGTCCCACGTGGAGCCACTATTTTCTCGCTTTTCTATCACTTTTTTCTTTTTCTTATAAATCGCGTCGTGTTATTTTTATCGGCATAAACTCTCGTACATATCTTACGTTTTTCTAGCTAGCACTTTTTCGTTTTCTACTTCAATTTAAAAAGTAACAAATATGTCACTAAAGGGCATTTTTGTCATTTCAGTCCAAAAGTCGCAGAAGCACATGTAACACATTCTATTAGTGAGTAGTGACCACAATGGCCACAATTTTGTCACTACATGGTCAAAACACAAGTCAAAACTTCTAATACTCGTTCGGGGGTCATGGCCCCCCACTGCCCTATACTAGCTACCCCTATACTAGCTACGCCACTAGAGGGCAAAATCGGTAATTCAAGTCGATAATTTTTTTAATTTTTGGCAGTGAGACGGTGGAAGTGTACTCTCGAGAAATAAGGAAGCTATGCAAGAATCTGCTGAAATACATAGCAACGACACTGAGCCTAAACGACGACGTATTCGAGGAAATGTTCGGCGTAGCCGTACAAGCAGTGAGAATGAACTACTATCCAGCGTGTCCAAGACCGGATCTTGTGTTGGGATTAAGCCCACATTCTGACGGAAGTGCCCTTACAGTTTTACAGCAAGGCAAAGGCAGTTGTAATTCTGTTGGCCTTCAGATATTGAAAGATGATGTTTGGATACCTGTTCACCCCATTCCCAATGCTCTTGTCATCAACATTGGTGATACTATTGAGGTATAAATTTATTTTATTTTTCGTATTTTTCGGGGGTAAAATTGGAAAGATATTTTCGATTTTCAATTTTTTTTATTTCGGAACAATATTTTCCATTCTGAAATTCGAGTTCCTATTTTTTTTCGGATTGGGATTGGTATATATATATATATATATATATATACACACGTGATTCTGATTTCCGATCCAATTTTATTTTTCGGAAAATTTCCGGGTTTTTTCTTCCGAAAAGGACACATATAATATCAAAATTATTACTTATTTTACATTTTCGGTTACTAAAAATAGGAATTTTCTGAATTTCATCGAAAATTCTGATTTTGGAACAAGTTTATCTATTCCAATTTTCAAAATTCTGATTTCCCGTTTCTTATACGGAATTGAAATTAAGTTTTCAACTTCCGAAAGTGTTAATTCTGATCCATTCCCTCCGATTTCCACATCTACTCGTATTAAATGCTGACTCCACCACTTGGTATATCAATCTAGAATTTTCTTTTTCATGGTTTTTTTTCTTCATTTTTTCTAATGATTTTTTATTTTTGTTTTGGGAAAATAAAAAAAGGTACTAACAAATGGGAGATACAAGAGTGTGGAGCATAGAGCAGTGACACACAAGGAAAAAGATAGATTATCAATTGTAACATTTTATGCACCAAGTTATGAAATTGAACTTGGACCAATAGCAGAGCTTGTTGACAATCACAACAATCCATGCAAGTATAGAAGATACAATCATGGTGAATACAGCAAACACTATGTCACTAACAAACTTCAGGGCAAGAAAACTCTTGAATTTGCCAAGATTATTAATTGATTTTATTAATAAATAAATAATTAATAATAATAGATTAATGTTGTTTCTACTTATGTAAAACTTTGTATTAGGGTTGTGTAACATCTAGTAATTAAGTGGCTTTCTTAGGACTTTGTCTATATGATGTATATATACTTTGGAAATTTGTTGTATTATATATATGTTTAATATTTAAATTAAGTTTGTTGGTGTTCAATAATTGATGGGCATATGTGACACTTTTTTTTTTTAATTATGATTTTCAATTGTGAGTGTTTCGTTCAATCAAGGGCTCGTTCATATATAGTCATATGTAAGATTCCAATCGAAGTTCTCACTTTTATTGTAGGTGTTGTGTTTTTGGTCCAAATGAATCGATAGGCTAGCGAAGCTCGTTTATTCCAAGTTTGTCCACTATTAGAGAAGCTCAATTGCGTATTTATGAGCTCAAGTTAAATGGAACGATCTGTAACTGATCTTATCCGTTAGATTGAGGTTATGTGATCATATTCACTCTTTCTCTCATTTGAAATCCTACATTTCTTTCTCCGCCTCTTTTTTCGTCTTCTAGAGTTTGAAATACACATCAAAGGGAATCCACCAACACTATTAGAGTACCACAGAAGAATCAATTTCTTATCTCTCTCACTCACTCTCTCACAAATTCACGAAGAAGCTCACATTGGAAAGCACAAATTCAGACACACAAGCTCACACACTCACCAAACAGTCTCAAATCTCACACATAAGGAGATTTAGGGTTTATGTCAAGTTCAGATCATTTATCTGTGTCTTAAAAGCCTCCACTCTGACCTTCTCGTATAAATAAGACTCAAGTCAATAGCAGTCGGTGAATGTACCACCAGAGGGTCAAAGTTAGACTGTACGGCAGCATTTGACCCACAGTTGACAGAGTCTCGGAGCAGTACATACTCAAAAACTAGAATATAATTTTACCTGAAGTTAGGTGTAATTAGACTTGCACACCTTAACTTTGAAAAATTACACAAACCTCATAAACTTTGATTTAGGTCAAAAACACAATAAACGGCTGGTATGTAAGATTCCAACAGAGACACTCACACTTTCACTATTGCCCCTTAATTAGATTCCACTTTTGGAAAGTAGAGTGTATGTAATCATGAAGGGAAATCAAGAATCATCACCATTCACTACCCCATGTTTTGCATTACAAAATGGGACAAGAAAGAAAATAAATTGAAATTGGAACACATATTAGATTCCGATTTCTGATTCTCGATTTTTTTTGGGAATGGAATTGGAAATCTTGTCGATCCGATTTTAAAAAAATTACACTTGTAGTATCAAAATCATGTGTATTTGATATTATAGGTGACCACAAAATTGGAAATTTCAAATTCCACTGATTTCGATCCGAAAAAAAAAAGTCGATTTTGGAATAAAAAAATTCTTTCCAATTTGTGAAATTTTAGTTTTGGGTTTTCCGATTTTCTTTTGGAATATAGTCAGAATTAGTTTTTCGCTGAAAAAGAATAGATTTTTTTTTTTCTTTCTGAAAGTGCTAATTTCGATCTGATTCGTTCGAGATTTTCTCTTAGTTTATATACTTTTGATTAAAAAAAAGTAAATAGAGAAAGAAAGAAAACCAATGGCTACCATTGAGAGTAGTGCTTTGGAGAGCTGTTTTTCTAAGTGGAGAGGAAGAAAGAGAGCCCACCATAGTCATGTTTGTCTGCTTCAACTTGCTTTATATAATTGAAGTAGGAAAAAAAACCAGCACTAAGTCCAAACAACTTGTCAAGGATTCTTGATGATCCTAAGAATATGGAATAGTGTCTGAAAATGCTTACAACTACAATAAAAAAGCAAGCTTTTTCGCTAAATTTCATGGCAGATGTCGAAATAAGATTTGATAATCGCATCATATGGTTTAAATTATTAAAACTGTAATGATGAACAAAGATTTCTAGTGATGCAAGCAACTAAGTAGTGGATTTCAAATTCCAATTGGAATGAATCCCCACCATCAATCAACACACAATGGCTACAGTCTTACACAAGGCACGATGATTTCTAGAATGCTCGTTTTTTTTCCTTACGCTTTCGGTGCAAATTTTAACACATGGGTTTTGATGCTAACGAACTTAAGATACCGAAATTCGACAGCATTCGTAAAAAGGGCTCAAAATATTTCTACGTTCTTGTATAGAAGCCTCTTATGATCATTCGAGCATTTTATCAAACAGTTGATGAGCATTAGAGCAGTCAAAGATTCTTAACATACCTAACAAAGTGTTGAAAGAAATGAACTTAAAAGTCAATACACAAGACAGAAAAAAAGTCTGAAAGCTACAAGGCCTAGTTCAAGAAAAGGAAGTACCTATATCAAGAATTGACAACACCATTGACACTTGGTCTAATACTTTGTGTCACTTATTGCAGTTTTAACTGAATTTTGAGAGTGATGGTACTTTGATTCTAGTCTTATGCTCTTTCCCCCACTATATACACTTTTGTTTCAAATAAAGCATATTGAAAAATAAAAATAAACGTCGACCAAACAAAGCCTTAAGACATCCTTTCCTCGTCTTCACCTGCTATATAAGCTTTTAAAGAGCCGACTATAAGCAATTCAAAATTAACGAGAAGACAAGCGAATTATACACAGAATCTATAGACAATGCATCTGATATTAAGGTTTATACGATAAATGGCAAAACAGACTTGTACTGAATCTTCACGTTTTTCGAAGAAGCCAAACCTAAAGAAACGGCAAAGTATCAAGAAAATAAAACGTAAACGCTAGGGAAAATGGATGGGAGCTGGATTTTGTCTCACAGCTCAGAAACCGTCGTTCATCTTTTTTTTTTTTTTTTTAATCCTCAATAAGTAGAAACGGTCAAAATGTACATGAAATTCTCATCTCAAAAGTCAATGAACCAACCATGCAGTAGACTATACAGTTTTCTGAGCTCGACATGGAATCCACCTTTTTTTTCGTTCGATTTCTTAGAAATCAGGCCAAGTATTTGAACAAGTTGGGGTTGTCCTTGTCCCTTTCTAGATAGTCGCGAGTGATTAAATCTTCAATCCTCTTCTTGATTGCTTTAACATCGGGCTAAAGAATTCAAAAGTTATATTTCAGCATCATAAGCAAATGTCAAGAATTAAAAAAATTAATAATAAATAAATAAAAAATCATGAAGGTACCTTGAACATACGCCCCAATTGCTCAACGCACTCCATAACTAACTGCTGGTAGCCCAAGACTTTCCTACTCTTCATTATACGCACAATCGAGGCATCGATTGCATATCTCCTGTCCTTGTCAACATCCTCAATCACCTTCTTTTTCTCGTCCACAGGGGGAAGAGGGATCTGAGTTCAAAATCAAACAGTTAAACAACATAATTTAACATGGTACAGGTCAATACATGCATAAGGAGATTGTGGTCTGTGACCGTAATTACCTTGATCCTTCTCATTTTGTCAGTGAATTTTGAATTAAATTCAAAAACATCAGTTGGAGAAATCGTTTTGGTGTTGGGCTCCTTGCTCAAAATCTTATACTTGGCACACGAAAGCGAATGAAGCAGCCTAACGACATCATCATCGGATAGGTTCAACTGAGTCATGATTTCTTGATAGCTTAATCTATCTGAGGAGTTGAAAAGCAGTAGAGCCGCAGCCTGGAAAAATAAAAATTTGAAGTCGAAATCACTAAAAATATTAATGGCAAGAATCGCGTTTAAACGAGATAATACTATATCCTCCCAAATTACCTGATAAGTAGTTACAATTAACTCAATAGTCTTCTGTTCGAACTTTCCATTGATGTTACAAGTGCCCAAGGAATATATCCATGTAAGTTTCCTGTGCTTTGTTTTTGTCTGGTAGAACTCTCTAAATACTTCAACGCACTTGACCTATAACAGAAGTCAAATAAAAACGAGAAGTTAGTGGTAAAATGGCTAAGTCTTTAACAAACAAGATTTCGCTTTATAAAGCATACCATCTCAGCAGGAAGATTTAGATCAAAGGACTTGTAACTTGGCCAGAAACCCGTTGTGAGAACAGTTACTGTCAAGTCAATTCCTGGATTTGCATTTGCATTATTACTAAGATATTCCTCAAAGCTGGTCTGATTTTCCCTTGCCAGTGTCAAATCTGTAACCTGGAATAGTTGACAAAGATAAAAATAAGAAATACATCAGGCACCAAAGTAAAAAATTAAATATATAACTGCTGCTTTGGAAGGTAGTTGCATTATGAGAGCTAACCATTCCCTCCATCTTAGACGTAAATTGGCCACCACATTGCTGCTTCAACTTTGTCAGAATACTCCTCTCATGCTCATCATTTGCACTTTTATCAAATAACAGGCGTCGTGCAAGTTTTTTTCTGTCGACAACAGCAATAAAAAGAATAAGACAAAAAAATCCCGTGTAACATCTAAAGGCTCAAATCAATCACTAAGTTTGAAAATTCACCTGTAGAATTCAGCAAACAAGTCCTTATCACTGATGTAAGCAAGCAATTTTACTACCTGAAAGATATATAAAATCTCAGTCACAACTTACAACATGTTATAGCCAATAAATGTAAATGCCAAGTGAAGTGTTTGAGAAACAGACCTTCTCCAGAGTGTCTTCAATAGCTTCATCACTTAATTTTTCACTGCCGCCCTTTTTGAGAATGTTATCACAAAATGTGGCAAGAAGTTCAGCACTAGAACTTCCAGCAACACCCTTGTTGCAGAAGATTTCAAAGGCCTCTTTAAGAGCCTATACATAGAAAAATGTTTAACTCGTCTATTGCTGGAATAAGTGGCAAGACTAAAACAAACATGAAGAGATTTCATGACGCTAACCTTGTGAAAAAGCGTGTGATTTAGAAAACACTCATTCACGTACGCCATGAATTTGTCATGGAGTTCGATCACTTTTCTGACAAATACCTGCACACAAACATGAATTAATTTCAAAATTTTAAACCGATTAAAACGTGAAAACCAAGAAACTCAAAATAGGTAACCTGTTCCTGTAATCCGACAACATCTTTCCTTTCAGCCTGTAGAATACACCTCTTGATATCAGAAATATGCACAGGCAAAATATATTTAGTAAACACATTTGGCAGCCAACTAAAAAAATGTCTAGAAACAAACCTTCTTGTTGCTCGCAGCATCTTCTGCTTGTTTAACCAAAGCAGTACCTTCAGCGGTAACATGCTGCAGTTGGGAAACCATTACATACCAGCATTAAAAAAACTATTCACATAACTTGCCGAAAGTATGAGCAGCATAAATGTTTGAACAGGTGCTCATTTTTACAAGCAAAAGCAAACTATCACAAACCTGCTTATAAATATTTGCAACAGGTTCTAAGCCTCGAGGTACTTTAGAAAAGAGCCTATACATCCTTGACAAATCTTCCACCTAATGGATGAAAAATGCTGGGATTTAGCATCAATTGCGGCATCTAAACTAATCATCCAAATACATATAGTATGAGATTTACCTTGTCGTCCCTAAGCAAAGCGTGACAACCTGAGTGCTCCTTCTCTAACAGTTGGGTGGCATACACAGACAACAGCTCATGTTGTACTTTCTATAAGAATCAGAAACAAATCAAACAGAACAACATGAGAAATGTCTAAATTGACTCAAAAAATTAATGTGAATAAAGAGTGCGCAGTGTAAGCACAATAATATACTTGGATGCTAATACATAACACACATCTCGGACTGATCATTAAAGAGCAAGAACAAACCTCGAGCAATTTTGTCTCACTACTTGAATGAAGATAATGAGAAACCCTGTCCTTCTCTCGTTTCAAGCACTCCTCAGCCTAGATTTTCAGAAACATAGTTAGAAGTTTGAACCCAATTAGAAAATTAGTCTGGGTAGAAGCACTATAGCCACATTTTTTCCTTATTACGTTGGACTCTACAAGAATGTGTGAGTTTTAAAGGCTGGGGATTATGAATTCCACAGAAATAATTACTTTCAACATATAGTCAGGACACGAATCATCTAAGATCCAGTTAGAAGCCTTCCGAGAATAGTAAGCTGCTGTGTCCTTGAGCATTGCTTCTTCAAAGTCATTCTCATACTGCTCCATCTGCCCCATTCCAATTTCAACAAAAATATCTAGGACATTCTTTAATAAAGCACGATCTATTTGCTCTCCTTCCCTCTCTTGATCAATCTGGTTTGAAAAACATATATTAAAACCTCAAAACAGGGAAAAAATTAATCAGGATGGTATAGAGGTAAATATTGTCATACCAGGGATATAACAGCATCCCTCACTTTCCCATTCACCTCATGATATACCTGAAATAGCATTCCAAATTCCAAGATTCAAAAACCAAAAACCAAACTGAAAATGACAAATTGAAGGATAAAAACGAGGAAGAAAAAAGTTGAATTTGAAATATTTTTTCAAATTTAAGCTAAAACAACATTTGAAATAGAGTGAAAATTATTTATAAAAAAAGAAAAGGTAAGTGAAATGAGAAAAATAAATATAAAGGTAGGGTACTATCAATTACCAGGTCTCTGAAACATGTCAGACCAACTTCTTTAAGTGGTGGAAGTGACCTTCTAGCTATGAAGTATCGATCAAGATAATGAAAGAATCTCGAAAGCCATCGCACCATGACTTTATGGTTTAACCACCTTCTCACAAGCTCCCTCAACATGAACTCGTCATGTTTCTCCCTCAAGGAAGGCAGAACCTTAATTAAGAACAAAGAAGTTAAATAAGGCTAGAAAAATAGCATATATCAATTTATAAAAACTAAACAGATAAAATAGTAATTTCAGATTAACCATGCTTCTAAATTCAAAATAGGGTAGTGGGTTTCTAACATTAAGTTTACCCCTTAAATTTAGAATAGTAACAAGGAACTCCATCAACGGGGTTGCACATCAAAAATTAATTTATTCCACAATTGAGCACACCAACACTATAGTGAGTACATAGATTGGCGTGAGCATATTAATAATGTAACACCAGTAAATAAAATCATTTTGCCCCACCCTTACCGTTCTTGTAATGTAGTCTTCAAAAGCTTCTCGGTACTTGTCATACAATTGCTGAGAATAATCATGTGGGGGCTTTTGAGTACACATATTGTAAATCGTCCTGTCAATAAGAATAAAGGGAAGTCAGAAACAACTGACAACAATGTAACAACCTACAAAAGCATATGATAATGATATATAGTACTAAAATAATACGTGTAGAGCAATATGTAGTCCTCTGAGTTGAATTGAGGCTCGGGTAGTCCTTCAAGAATATTCTTCAGTTTTACGATCCCTCTTTCCATGAAGTCCCATCCTTTGTCTAACTCAATGGTATTTCGCTGGTGCATAGTCATCTTCTCTCGCAGTCCAAGATCAACACAATGGCACCAATTAATCCAGTTCAAAACATGCCACTGACAAACAAATGGATAGGTAAAGGTCATTAAAACTCAATACTTAAAAGAGGAATACTACAGGAATCATCAAGAAACTAGACGCAATAGGATCAACCATAATGCCCGATAAATCAAGAAACCTAATGTAACAAATAGAAAATTACACAATCAAATTGCAACGGGAAGTTGGCACCAGATCCTAGAACACTTTCCCATACTAAATCTCCCAAAAATCTGGACATGGTCAACTTTAAATTGCACCAGTTGACAACTTCTTTACAGAACAATTCTATAGAAGAGTTCAGTCACAAATAATCATGCTCACAATTTATCACCAACAAGTAATATATGTACTCATAAAACACCAAACGCCCCAACCCACCAAACCACCGTCCTCCCTCCATCCGTACAACCCCCAAAATACAAAAAATAAAAGAAAAGGAAATTAAAAAAAAAACCCAAAAAACGTAAGAATGGACCGACAAAACCCTAAAATAAGTAGAATCGCATCAAAACAAGCAGAAACCTACCAGAAACCCCTCGAATTCGAATCAAAATCCAATTGAAGCTTAAACAACTAAAATAACCTCAAAATCGAGGTCCATATTTACATAAAATACGATTAATTCGATACCGATCGCAAAAAAAAACATGTGTATATGGCTACCTCTTAATGCGCACGCGAAACAAAAATCAAAAAAATACCACACAGTAATCGATATACGGTATGTGATAATATGAATATCCTAGAGAGAGAGAATACCTGAAGAAGAGAGAGAAGAGAGAGAGATGAGATGTGAACCCCTTTCTTTCGTATTCGGTTTTCCTTGCTCTATATTTTTTCAGCTATTACAAATTCCTTTTCTAAGCATATATATATTATTACAAATCCTCCATGAAGTTCTTATAATTCGCGTTAGGACCCCCAGTACTTTCTGGAATTCTGTTTTCTGCCTCTAGATTGTATCAAAAGACGATTAGAGTATCGTATAAATTTGGGTAAATTACGGTCAATCCCGAAGGTAAGGTCAAATGACAAAATAATCCCTCTTGTTTGGGTAATTACAATCACCCTACAGCTATGAATCTTTTTACACGTCGACCCTCAAATCTTCTAGATTCCGTGGAATGTTCTATTTTTTGTACTCATTTTGTGCAAAAATGCAGTTTCTAATGCACCACAATCTGATATTTACAAGTGAAAAGACGCATCTTATGATCATGTTGTTTTAGAATGTGGATCTGGAATTGGGTAAAACAGGTACAAACTGAAGAATATTTCACATAATCTAGAAAAATTCACTAAATTCGACACCGCAAGGGTGGACGTGTAAGAAAATTCATAGTTGAAGAGTGGTTGTAACTTGTAATTCGCAAACATGAGGGGTTTTTTCGTAATTTGACATTACCTCAGGGAGTGACCGTAATTTACCCTATAAATATTTTACAATTTGGACTAAATTTTCAAAAAAAAATTATTGTAGTTTATTTTGGGGAGGCCCATCACAGATGGTAGCCCATAGAGGTTAAGCTGCGCAAGCCCACAGGGAATAATTTGCAAAAGCCCAACCCAATCACGATAAAAAAAGCTGTTTTGTGTTCATTATTTGGTGATTGTTAATTACAAGTTACAACTTTCATAATTATGGTTTATTGCATTTAGCACCCATATGTTTACTCTATTTGCAAAAAAAGGCTGTAATGTTATTTTTATTAGCAAAGAACCCCATTATTTGGGAATTCTGAAGCATACACACCTTAAAAACTCGTCAATTAAAAGGTTGTGAGCTGAAAAAAAAAATCAAAATATAGGGAGGGTTTTGCAATAAACTCTATTAATACAATTTACACCATTATGAATTGAAGCTAAATCTGGATTTAAAATAAAATAAAACTCAAATGGTTTTTAAAACTTTATTCAAACTCTGTTGATAGTGAAAACCTGCCTATAAGATTCTCCAGTAATCTAACAATCATATATATATATATATATATATATATATATATATATATATATGTGTGTGTGACATTTAAATGAAGCAAATTAAAGCACTTCCATCATGAAGAAGCTTTCTTTTCTTGTAGCTTGGTTGCTTGTACCTCGAGCAATTCATGTTGCACAATCTGTTGCATATAGTAAAATCGCTTTAATCACGTGATAACAAAAACCGAGTCACGTGACAAAATAGCAGCAAAATTACAAACCTCTAGTACTTTGTATTTACTCAAGTAATTCGAAACTCTGCTTTTCTCCTCTTCTAAGCATTTCTCAACCTGCACATTTTTCAACCATACATACATATCATATATCTATATCTTCCAACGTTAATAAAGTAACTAAAAAATAATTCGTCGGGATTGACCTTAAGCATGTAATCGTCGTACGACTCCATTGCAATCCAGTTTACGGCCTTTCTCGAGTAGAATTTAGAGGTGGCTTCAATAATTGCATCTTCAATATATTTTGCATGGTGCTTCGATGCATCTCCACTCTCGATTTCATCGTAAATATTCAGTACTTCTTTCACCAACGCCTGATCAATCTCTTCCCCTTTGCGCTCCTTATCAATCTGAGCATATTTTTGCCTCTTTTAATACAAAAATATTGTAGTAAACTACGAAAACGCCATCCCGGAAATTACTCAAGAACTTACTAATGATATAATGATTTCACTAACTTGAACGTTTACTTCCCAGTAAACCTGCAATAGATGTAGTTACAAATACTCGTGAATTTTTACTTTTTTAGGAAATTTGATTAAAAAAAGTAACGGTAAGAAATATATTACATAAATCACGAACCATATTATAGAATATCGAGTGGCTGGTTTCTACAAGAGAAGGCAGTTTCTTCCTCGGTATATAGTATCTCGAAAGGTAATTAAAGAACCTGGAGAACCATTTCGTCAAATATTTGTGATGGTTCCATCTTCTCCACAATTCTCTCAACAGATTTTCGTTCGATTTTCTCCACAACGAAGGCAATACCTGCATATTTCCACGCACATTGTGCATAACTTCGTAGCTATAATATTAATTCACAGTTTTCTAGAAAGTTCGCTTTACCTTAGAAGATACGTAGTCCTCGAATATCCTTTTGTATTGTTCGTATAGTTGCAGAACTTCTGGACCGATTGGATTCGGGGAACATACATTGTAAACTAGTCTGGTACAAATTCAGTCAAGAGTGCCAAAATGATAGAAATGCAGAATTTGATGTTATTTAAATTTAATCCTCCCATAAAAAACCCAAAATTCTTTGAAGGCTAAAATTAGGGCATAAATCATAGATAAACACAGGTTGTAAATCATTAGGGTTTTCAAATAAAATACGCTAATTACTCAATATGAACAACATTAATGGTAAAAACGTAGCTTAAATTTGGGGGAAAAAGTGAAATTAGGTCAGAGGATACGTATAGAAGCGCATGTACTCTTCAGAATTGATGTATTGATGGCTGGGCAGATGTTCCTCGAGTTCAAGTTTGTCGATGAATTTGTTGATGGCTTCCTCCTCCAAAATTGGCCAGGCCTCCTCGAAATTCATCGGGTATTTCAAGGCGGCGGCGCCGCCAGCCATGCTCAGCTCCGACACGGCGGAGAAGGGGAGGCGAATTTGCAGAGATAGGTATTCGCTCGAGCGGGAAGGAGAGCTTTTGAGCTTTGCAGCAGTGGGGCTGTGGCTTTTGGTTGTACGCTATGTTACTTTAGTTGTACCTTGGTTATATTCTTTTTCTTTCTATTTTTTTTCCATTGTCGGTTTGACTGGAATCAGTCATACAATTAAAAAAATAATAAATGTGCAACAAAAATAATAAATCAAAATAAAAATCATTAATTTTATCTCTTCATCCAAAATCCAACGACCAATGTAAAAATTCATAATTTAAAATTAAATAAAAAAACTCCAATGTAAATTTTAAAATAATCACTCTTCGAATCTCATTAAAAAGAAAGTTCCATAAACGAAGCAGCTTATTTTTCCTTATAGCTTTCTTGCATGTACCTTGAGCAATCCATGTTGTACACTCTGTTACAAAAGGCAATAATTTCTCCTGTTCTAAGCATTTCCCTCCAACCTGCATATATTTCAGACAAGAAAAAAAAAAAATCGAACAAACATTAGAACTGTCGGTAAATATCTATAATTTGAAGTCCGAAAAAAAAAAACGACGATTTGGTACATACCTTAAGCCGGTAAAGCTATAGGTGGCTTCACCGAGTAGTACTAGTGCTTCGTCGATATTATTTGCATCGTGCTTCGATGCATTTCCACTCCCCATTTCCTCACAAATTTTAATCACTTCACTAACCATAGCCTGATCAATTTGTTCCCCGTTTCGTTCCCGATCAATCTGATTATTTATTTATTTATTACATCATTGGATTTTACAAAAACATTCTAGGATTTATAAGTAGTATTGTTTAATTAGTTTAATCAAGAACTTACCATTGACATAGTTATATCATGAACTTGTTCATGTATTTCCCTGTAAACCTACAATAAGTACAACTTAGAATGAGTGCAACATAAAAAAAATGATTTATATTAAAAAAAATCTATATATATACACACACACACATATATATATTTATAAACGAACCAGATTATAGAAGATCGAGTGGCTGGATTCGGCGAGAGAAGGCAGTCTCTTACTCGGTATATAGTATCTCGAGAGGTAATACAAGAACATAGAGAGCCACTTGGTCATAGTTTTGTGATTTTTCCATCTTCTCGAAAATTCCCTCAACAAATTTTCGTCCGACTTTTCCCTCAAAGAAGGCAATACCTGGATCGTGTATATATTTTCTAATCATAATGAGTGGCGTAATCGTAATTTTATCGGAAAAATAACAAATCTCGATTTTGATAATACGAATGTGCAGTTTCGTAAGAGTTGTGTCTATATATACCTTCGAAGAGATGTAGTCCTCAAATGTCTTCTTGTACTGGTCGTACAGTTTTTGGTTCCAATTATCCGGGCTATAAGAGCAGCATACGTGATAAACAGCTCTGGTAAAATCGAGTCAAGAAAACGAAAATTTCCACATATTCAACAAATGCAACAGCTGATATTTTTAGAGCTTATTCCAATTACTACCCCCGTGTCATATCGAATTGCTAAAAAGCTACCCCATTTTATTTTATCGGTAAAAATCCCCGTATGATTTGATTTAGGGGGTTGTCTGGTAAAAAAAAGTTTGAATCATAGGGAGTTTTTTGCCGATAAAATAACATGAAGTAGTTTTTTAGCAATTCAATATAACATAGGGGTCTTAATTGCAATAAACCCGATATTTTTATGCGTCAATTTACAAATATATACTATCTCTATCATAGTTGATAGAGGGGTTGTAACTTGTAAACAACACAAAAACAAAAATAAAACTAATAATAATAAAAAAAAATAATAGAACCCATAAAACAATATGATCGTTAGACAATGTTTATAGCAACATTAATGGCAACATATAAATTTATTTTAATTGCGAAAAAATGAAAAAAAAAAAGTTAAATAGGGCGAAAGGATACGTATAGAACCGCATATATTCCTCGGAATCGAAAATTTTGTCGTTGGGTTGTTCTTCTGCTTCGAATATGTTGACCATCTTGTTAATGGCCTCCTCCTGCAAAATGGACCAGCACTCATCGAAAGTTATATCCTTTTGGGGGGCGGCAGCGCCGGCCATGTTCAGCTGCAATACGGCGGCGGCGAATGGGAATAGAGTTTGCAGAAGTGAGACTTTTTGAAAAAATAAATAAAATAAAGGTTAAAAAATAAAATCGGTGCAAGTACAAAATTAAAAGTGACGCGAGCTAGTGATTTGATTGGTCGAAAATAGCCACGTAGATAGCGATGATGTGTCGATCATTACGTGCGAGCTAGTGATTGGATACAAATTGCCACGATGATGTGTCGATTATTACGTGCGAGCTAGTGATTGGATACAAATTGCCACGTAATTGCCGCTTTGCTAATCGAAATTTTGCGATTGCCAGGTAATCACATTTGAAATAAATTACGGTTGATTCGAAGAAATCCCTACAAGTGAAGAGTATTTATTAGTGGTGGATTTTCGGATGCAAAATTTGCCGACTATTGAACAATATTTTCCATTCCGATCCCATTTTTTTCCAAAGCTACAGCCGATTTCCACCTCTAAGATTTATAATTAGATTGATATATTCTTATGATATAATATTTTTATTCGGAAAAATATGAAATAAACTTATGGTAGGTAAATTAAGTCGGCTCTTTTTAGAAACTCATAATCCTTCGACCCTAATACGTATATACGACCCTAATGCCGAAAGAATTCAGGGATAATTAATTTATTTATTGCAAAAATGGACTGACCTCAAGCATGTAGTATTCGAATGGCTTACTTGTAATCAAGTTTTAGGCCTTTTTTGAGTAGAATGCAGAGGTGGTTTCGATAATCGCTTCTTCAATGTCTTTTCCATAGCGTTTCGGTTAATCTCCACCCTCGATTTCTTTGTAAATATTCAAGACTTCTTTCACCATGGCCTGATCAATCTCTTCTCATCCGCCCTCCTTATCGATCTGAATATTCAATTATTTATTACGATCAATATACTATATTGCATTTATCAAGTAGCGACAAAATGGTGAAGATGCGAATTTAGTCGAAATGGTTAATAAATTGCCTTAGACGGGATACGTGGACACGCATGCAAACTTACCAAAGATACAATGATAACGCCAACTTGATCGTTCATTTCTTCGAAAACCTGAAAATAGGCAAAAGAGCGAAACAAATACTCGTAAAACTTTAGAAATTTGACCCGAGTAACGGTAAGAAAGACGAACCAGATTACAGAATGTGAAGTGGCTGGTTTCTACAAGAGAAGGTATATAGTTTGTTCTTCGATATATGGTATCTCGAGAAGCAATTCAAGAACATCGAGAGCCAGCTTGTCATAATTTTATGATTTTTCCATCTTTTTAACAATTCCCTCAACAGATTTTCGTTCGATTTTTCCCTCAAAGAAGGCAAAACCTAGATATAGCAATACACGCAAAACTTCACACGACGTGTGCATGCATATCTTCGTCGCTGTAATATTAATTCATAATTTCTAGAAATTTCACTTTACCTTAGAAGATATGTAATCCTCAAATGTCCTTTTGTATTGATCATACAGTTTCATTGCAGGACCCGGTTTTCCCGGGGAGAAACGTAGGTAAAAAACAACTCTGGCATTTTAAGGAAATAGGTTAAATTGGGGAAAAAAAAAGGATACGTATAGAACCGCATACAGTCATGAGAAGTGAAGCAGTGACGGTCGGGTTGTTCTTCGAGTTCGAGAAAGTCGATGGTCTTGTCGGGGGCTTCCTCCTGCATGCAAAATTGGCCAGCCGTCTTGAAGTTCACGGCCATGCTCAGAGAAATCGCGGAGGAGAAGACGGTGAATTTTGCGCAGTGTGGTGAAACTTTGGAACAAGAGTGATTAAAAAAGAAAAACTGAAAATCGCCCTTTGCATTTATATTTTATTTAAGCGAAATTGCACCATATACCCTGAATTTAGGTGTAATTACAACTAGACCCCAACGGATTCCAAAAAATATACATAACTCCCCTTTAAATTTGAAATTAACTACAATAAGTGGGCCCTGATTGAATCCCAATTCAATTGACAAAATTTTCCCGCCCTCTTGGGTGATGTTTCACAAATCACATATCAAAAATTTTGGAAAAACAAAATAGCCAATTTACCAAATTATTTTATTAAAATAAATATAAATAAAAAATGAAAACAATAATTAATTATGGAAATAAATCAAGAAAAAAAACAAATTATGAGCTTTTTCAAAAGGTAAAACCATCTAATACCAAACTAAACAAAAACAAACAATGAACTTTTTCAAAAGCTAAAATAATCAAAACCAAACATAAACCGAAACCGGAAACCGAAAACATCAAAACGAAACATAATATCTAATAATCCATGTAACTAAAATCCAACGAACAAAATGTAAAACTGAAAATTAATCCAGTATAAATTAATAGGACCAATCCTATTTATCAAAATGTAATCCCAACAACAATAAAAAAAAAAGCCCTCAAAAGATCTGTCGAAATAGAAAAACAAGTATAAAAATTCATCCCCTGTAGAACAACAACAACATCTTGCTTGCATGCATGTATCTTGAGCAATCCATGTTTCTCACAGGCTGTTGCAAAGCCAATAATTTCACATAGTTAATAAGCAATTATTTAAGTTTTACGTAAAACATAAATCGCATTACACACTATAAGAAACTTCTAATATTTTTTTTATAAACTCTGAAGATCAAGTAATTTAAACCAAACGCATCAAATAAGAAATAAAACGACGAACAACTTGCAGTCAGCATTTGAAGAATTTTATTTAAGGTTCTCAAATTACATGCCACTGTTTTAACTGAATCAAAGAGGGTCCTCTTGTTATTCCCGTATAGTTTAATTATGAAGCTATTTTCAAAGACTAAACAGTTCTTCCAACAATCTTCAGTATTCAAGAGAACACATACAATTACAGAAGAATTTTAAATTACAGAGGTGAATTGCGTTAGTGGAGATGAATTTTGCGTTACACAGATATGAATGGAGACATGCATGTGTTAATGAAGATGAAAATAACGGATGTGATAATGAAGAAAGAGAAAATCTAAATTATCGAAGTTAGTTGGATTCTTTCAAACTTAATTTGATCCTAGTTAGTTTCGAGAAAAAATGTTTTATTTGGAAAAGTTCTAATTATTAGATCTACTCTATGCTACACCCGACGAATTTCACCGGGCTATTTTCCAACGTATGCATCTATACACGTGTATGGTAGGGTATAACTCGGTGAAGTTCACCGGGTGTAGCATTGAACAAACCCTAATCATAATAGAAAACTAATTAAAACTTAAGAAAAAAAGACACGTGTATGGATCATTCTCGTTTTTTTGGCACGGTAAGATCAAGAAGCTATTAATGTACAGTACGATTAGGTATCTATCTTTTGAATTTAATAAAGTAAGACTTGGGACTGACCTCAAGCTTTTAAACTTAAAGGTGGCTTCGTTAATTGCTTCTTCCATATCTTTCGCATAGTTTTTTGATGCATCTCCACCCTTGATTTCCTCGCAAAAAGCGAGGACTTCTTTCAGCATTGCCTCATCAACCTGTTCGCTATTAATCTGCATTTTGTGTTTCATTAATTAGTACATCATCGGATATTACAAAAATACCGCGATCTATAAGTATTAGATTTTAACATATGCGCTTGTTAAATGGTTACTCAAAGAACTTAGTAACTTACCATTGACGTTACGGCATAACGTACTCGATCTTTCATTTCCAAGTAAACCTACACACAATGCACAATGCAACGTAACCATCACGAAGAAATAAAACAGATTTACTACACAACCAAAAAGCAAAAAAAAAGAAACAAATTAACGGGAGGAAATTCATCACGAACCAGCTTATAGAATGTCGAGTAACTGACTTCTAGAAGAGAAGGCAGGTTCTTCATCTGTATATAGGTTCTCGAGAGGTATTGAAAGAAAACCGATAACCACTTGGTCATAATTTTGTGATTTCTCCATCTCCTAAAAAATTCTCCCAAAAGAGTTTCGTTCGATTTTTCCCTCAAAGAAGGCAGTACCTGGATAGCAAATCTTTCAAACATTCTGTGCATATACATATACTAATGACAAATTGACTACACTATTAATTCACAGTTTCTTAAACAAATTATTTACCTTAGCAGATATGTAGTCCTCAAGCGTCGTCCTGTATCGTTCATACAGTTTCTGCGTTTGAGCGTTCGTCGTATACGAGGTACACACATTATACACAGCTCTGGTCAAATTGAGTCAAGAATACAAACAAAAAAAAAAAAAAACATTCCACATATAAAAAAAATGAAAAAATCAGTGTCAATTTACTCAGCACACAGATCTTCCAAATGCTAAATTTAGGGCACAAATCATAGATCAAATCAACAGGTCTGTAAACAAAATAAAACACTGCAAAAATCTAAACACATCGTTTGAACAAACATCAATGGCGAAACACAACTGCATTTGAAGAAATTAGGTTAAAATTAGTTCAGAGGATACGTGTAAGCATCATACGTCCTCGGGTTTGAAGAATCATCGCCGAGCGGTTTCCCAGCTTCGAAAGCGGCGATCATCCTATCAATGCCGACTTCGTGCAACAAGGTCCAGCACGCCTCGACGGTGATCCGCTGTTTGCAGCATTCTCCGCCGCCGCAAGACATTGCTCAGCTACAACAACGGCGGCGCAGTCGCCGGAGAAGAAGTGAGGAATTTTTGTGAATAGATGCAATTAGGGTTAAATGAAAATGTTTTTTTGGGGTTTATATAAGCAAGTTTTCTGGAGAACTGTGTGAGTCTGACTCAGCTGTCATGCTACAAAAGTTTATCCGAATTCAATTTTATAATTAAATTCGGATATTTTTCTATAATTAATTAATTAATTATTATTACAATCACTACATAAATATAATTGAAATTAGTTAGGAAAAAATCTTGAATTAGATTTTTTATTATTATTTCTTGGTAGACTTTATCCATGTTGACTATTGAAATGGTGTGGAGAGTGTTTGAAAAAATAAAATAATAATCAAAATTACTCCATTTTCCCTCCCAATACAAAGTGGACCTTTTCTTTTTTATTTTATTTTATTTTATATTATTTATTTATTATTTATTTCCCATTTCCAAGTCTTGGTCAATTCATTTTAATATTTGTTTTCTGACAACGTTATTTTAACATTCCAAATTGTTGGAATGTGGGCCACAACAAAACTGCAATTGGAATTGGGCCTATTGAATACTTTGGTAACCTGGCCCAATGATTATTATATTATTATTAATTTTTTCAACCGAAGGCGAAGTTTCTCGGGCCCACATATTTTTACGAGATAATGTAAATCATAGTGACTCAACGGCCGCACGATGAGGAATTGAAATTTTCACATTGTGGCAGCAGTACTCAATTTTAAGTTGAGTTATACCTATGCGGGCATTATTTTATTTTATTATATTTTTAATTATTCCTCTAAATGCATATTGTCAAATACAACAATTTTTAAGGGGCAAAAGAAATTCACCAATTAGGTTATATTTTTTTAAATTAAGAAATTATCAGGTTGAATAATTGATGTAAAAACCAGCTTCTTCAATCAATTTCCAGCTTGATAATTAATTAATTAATTAATTAATTCCTGTATATTTAATTTATTATAAAACAAATATCGTTTTCCTTCAAATAATATATTATATCCAATCACCACCAAAAACCAAAGCAATATATTCAAGAATTCATGACTTCATCAAGTAATTAAATCAACCATACAACAACCCTATTATAATTATAAAAAAAAAACACAATTTATAAAAAACAAAAAAAAACAAATAAAAAAAATAAATAAATTCATCCTAATTCTTTTGGTTGTTCTCCTCTTCCATTAACATTTCTTCTTCATCAATAATATTAACACCAACCCTATTAATATTAATATTATTATTAATATTATTATTATTATTATTATTCCCTTCAAAATCTCTAAACCTAATCAAGTACCTCTTCAAGGGACCCACGTAGTCGTCGAATCCAAGTTGACCCATAGCCCAGCAAATATCGTCGCCGTTGACCGTTTTCCGTCTCTCCTTTCGACACTTTTCCGACGCCTCGCCCGTCACGAATCCGATAAACTCAGACGCGCATTCTTGCATAGTCTCTTTGGCTTCTTTGGAGATCTTTGCGTTGTTCGGAAGAGTCTGCTTCATTATTCTGCCCACGTTCGCTATCGGCAAGAGCCTGCTCTCCGAATATTGGTCCGTATCGGCCGTCGATCTCGACCGTTGATCGTCGTCATTTGCTTCTGGATCAATATCGACCGTTGATCTCAAGGAGAATATTGGACGCTTGCTTGTTGAGTTGATGTGGTTGTTGTTTGATGAAGACATGATATTGAGAAATTTTATGTGTGTGTGTGTGTGTGTGTGTTTTTACACGCTTATGTGCGTGCTATATATTGTATAGGTTTTGTATATGTTTTTTATTTATGTATTATATATGTATGTATGTATGTATGCATGCATGCCCCCATGTCACCATGTTTGATCATGTGTCTTTGCAGTATTATTTAATTATTTCCACAATTCATTGAATTGAAATTATTTGTTATATTTGATTTCAAGGTTAATTAAACATACTAGAAATATTTAAAATGAATTTTTTTTTGAGATTATTTACTAAGACATGGTATTATTTTTATGCTGGAAAAATGTAAAATTAATTAAAAAAAAATGTTTTAAAAAAATTGAAGACAAATTGCTAAAGAGATCCTATTTAGTATTTATAATTATATTATGCATGAATATATATATATATATATATATATATATATACACACGTTTGTGCGATAATTATGGAAGCTGACAGTGTTCTCTTTAATAATTAAAAAATCCAATATAATTTATTTATTTATTTTTAAAAACACTATATAATTAGTTAATTAATCATACTAAATTAATAATCATTAATCTCCTGTATTGGATTTGCTGGAGATTCTCCATCTGCCCACTACTTACCTCAAAATGGGACAACTATACATATATTTATTTTGAAATCAACTATATAAATATATTATATTTGACCAACTTGTACTATAAATTAATTGTGCATTTCACAATACATTATATTTATTGATATATAAAAATTTAATTTATTGTGAAATCCCAAGGATATTCCCCCCTGACCCACAACCCCTCTGTTCTGGGAAGATTCCATTTCCATGTCTTATAATATTAATTTGATTTTTGTCTGAATCTTGGAATTGGTCAACTAGGGTTTTGACCAATTCCGGTTAAGTCTGCTTTCGATATAAATAATAAATAAATAAATAAATAAAAGTTGGCTATGCATGTGGCTACCTAGAGTTGCATCTTTAGCAATATTAATTATATTTATTCTAACATTAGCAAATTGAACCTACTATGTGATTCGGGCCGGAATGCGGCCCGAAAGATAAGGCCCGCTAAGGACTAGTAAGGCCCACTCAAAGGTTGGGCCCAAGAGATGAATTCACCAAAGCCCATTAAGGTGTGCCGCCTAAAGGGTAGTCCAAACTAAGTGCGACCCCTCGACGACATGTCTTGACGGAGGAGAGGAACTGACGAGGACTGAGCGAGCGTGGGGTCGTTGGCGAGGCGCCACGAGGGCTCGGTCGACCAAAGGCATTGATGACCCTGACAAGTATGGAGAGACGCATTAAATGACCCTGACTAGTGCGTCTCGCACTCATACCTGCTCATTAAATGCGCTGACACCAGCATTTATTGAGTGAACGACTGGTGGTAGTCGGAATTAGGAGAGTCCAAGAAAACGTGAGATCAAGAGGCTATTTGCCTAGGAATCATGAGAAACGACGACGACTGACTAGATGGTAATGATGGTATGAATTACCCAGAGAAAGCAGGAAGGAGGCGAAGACAATGGCGGTGGGTAAAGCTCTAACCATAATGTTATAAATGGGATCTTTTCCTGTTCTACCTACACATTCGCTAATTAGTTTCCTTATCAATTGTAATTTAAGTCCATTCCTAAGATCATATGTTGCCCTTTACTGACTTGATCGTCCGAGTGTTATCTCCGGCGTCTACCCTGCTCTCATTTGTTTTGACTGGATAGTTGCATCCCATATGTGGAGGTTTTGGCCACTCTTATAATCACAAAGTGGGCTGTAACGGGCTGAATGTTTTCATGACGGATCACTATATATTTTTATTTCAAATGTTTTCCCGAATAATTTTAGCGACGTACGATTTTTACTCATGTAAATTCGAATTCAATCAAATGTTAATCATATTTGGAGCCGGTCATATGTTTTTATCATTAAAGATATTTCACTCGACTGAAGATGCCCTTATTATTATAAATTCGTTGATTTGTCTAGTTTTATAATTATCTATAATTTCATTTACTTTAATAACTAGTATATATGCAAATAAATATATACAACATAATGAAATTAAAATAAATAAATAAATAACTAAATAAAATTCACTATTTCATTGTTCCTAATACAATTTTTTTATTTGTTATTTATGAAATATGGTAATTAATGATGGTCCATGTGTTAGCCCAACCTAAATCCGAACCGCATGGCCCGGCCCATATGAAGTAACCCGGTTATTACTTAAATCCATTGTTTTATATTTTAATTGGCTGATAATTAAAAAAATGCTATACTAATATACTTAATAAACATTTCAATATTTGTACATTATACTAAAATTATAATTAATGTTATTTATTATAATTTAATTAAATTATATTCTTAAATTTGTATCCGACCGAAAAAAAATAAGAAATAATTTTATTTCAGATAAAATTTGATAAGGGTGTGAATCGTTTTGGGCCTAGCCATGAGATAAGTCATTGGGCTGGACTATAATTTTATATCAATTCTTTAACTCAAACAAAACAAACCAATCATAATTTTTAATAGTTAATAATTTCATTACAAAAAAATAAAAGAAATTGGATTTATTGTGTAAAATATTTTTTTAAACTAAAATGCATCAATAAGGATAAAATTGTTGAGTATACACAAAAAATTAAAACACACAATACAATAAGCTATTACTTTATATAATGGATATACACAATATTAAAAACAAATTATCTGTAATTTATTTCAGTCGTAGAACGAGGTCGTCGTGTTATCTTGAAATGTAAAGTTAAATATGCAATCTAATCAGGATAATATTATGAATACTTTAGTAATAACATATTTTCGTAATGAACGAGCGATTAACGCGATATACATTGAATGTGCGACCGACGACTGAAATTCTCGCAATTCAATTTATTAAATTTGTAAAAAAGAAAATTATCCCGTACAAACCATTTAGTTTAGCCACTCGTTTTTCAAGCACGTGAGCTAAAATCAATATATCAAATATATATTCCTCGAAACATCAAATTATTTATATTAACATTTATCCAAGGAATTGCAATAAAAAAAATCAATAATAATTCATTATAAAATATAAATTATTTAGTGCATAGATTAATTCAAAATCCCTCCCAACAAAAATTCCCACAACTACCCTCACTACACGAGCGCGTACATCCCACGCATCCAAAGCGCGTGTGGATTTGTCCTCCAACACTCATTCTATTTTTTTCCTTCTCACTTTATTTCTCTAAAACTCATAAATACAAAATAAAATTTAGTAATAGCAAAAAAGCAATTTCTCTCTCTATATAAAGCACACCAAAAAATAAAAAAATAAAAACAAAATAAATAAAAGTCTCATTATTTTCTCTCTCTCTCTCTCTCCTCTCTCTCTCTTCGATTCAATTCACCACATGAAACCTCTGCTCCCGTAGAAGAAAACCCAGGTTCTCTCTCCCCCCCCTCCTCTTCTTCTTCGTACATATACATACATATTTTGTATGCATAGTCGTGGATAAAGAAACTGGTTCCTGTATCTATTATGTATGTATACGTTTTTCTGTGTAGTTGTTCGTGCTGTATTTTTTTTTTCACGGTTTTTTTGCTCCACATCTGAACCCATTTCCCCAGCTTCGCCCCCCACACGTGCCCCTCAAGTTATTTTCTTGTATTTTACATGCATATATATATTTAAATACGGTGTTGTATGTATTTGTTAGTGATGTTGGGTTTATGAAATAAAATGATAATACATAAAGAGTTATCAAGTGTGGTGTATGAGTTTTTTTTTTTTTTTTTTTTAATTTGGTTGGATCACATTGGAATTTTCTGTGGACTTTATTAGTGGTTTTTTGGGTTGTTGTTGGAGGATTTTTAATGCATGATTTCTTGTTTTGTTGTGCATTGCTGTTGTTTTTCTCCGGTTTTCGGGTTTCTTTTTTTTTAATGAATTTTGCCCATAGGAATTTTTATTTTTTTGGAAAAGTGGAAGTTCTTTATTTTGATTTGATTTTTTGTTTGTGAATCGGAACACCGCTTTGGGATAAATGCGGGTTCGTTTCGAGATCTCGAGATGTATTTCTTTGCGAAAAAAAGTTGCTATCTTTATCTCGAGACATGTTCGATTTTATTGAGAGATAGATCTGTTGTTTTAAACGAGTTGTAACCGATGCTCGATTTCTCATTATTAGGTTTTTACACTTCTTTTCACTTTTAGGTTTGGAAGAGAAATTTCTTAATTGCTTTCGGTTTGATGCGATCCCTTTTTTCGTGTTGCTTTTAGTTTCCGTATACCGTCTGGTTTTTATTTTAGATGAATTCAATTTCGTATATTAGTTTTATCGTTTTTTGTTAATCCGTTTCTCCATTTTCGATTCTATCGATGCTTCTTAATAAGTGGTGAATTTCTACATTTTGTTTCCGATTATCGATATAAATCCTCCATTTTCCTTTTTCGTTTTCTTTACCAATGTGCATTTAGATTCAGATTTGCTTGCATTTAGTACAAACAGAAAAATCCGGAGTTCTTGATTTGCATTTGTATAGTCATTTACTTGTTAGTAATTAAGTAATTTCAAATGATTTTATATTCATCAAAACTTTCTTCGTCGCAGATTAAATTCAAGAGTGGAAGTTAACTCAACAAACCCCGTTTTTTGCTGCTGTTTTTTTTTTTGCATGATATCGAGTGAGAGGTAAACGCCTCTCCGTTTCAACGGCATATCATTACATTATCAATGTCTATTTATCTTCTTGTTTGATCTCCGTTTATTACTAGAAGAAGTTATAAAAACCAAATCCTAATAAAAAAAATTGCGTTGATTTCTTCGGTGCGTAGAGATGGCTTCTATTCATTTAGGCGAAAACGGAGATTGCTTCATCGACTCTGTAGAAACTGAGGGCTCCCCTCAAATCCAATCGGATAATAATTCAACTGATGCAGTGGATAAATTCGAAGAAGAGCCCGAAATACTTCCAAGAATCGGTGACCAATATCAAGCAGAGCTTCCTCCACTTGTCAGTGGGTCCCACTATGTACCCTTCGAAAATTTCCAAGTGGGATTGCCTATACTGCTGACGTGGATCAGTAGCTCGAAACGGGATACTTTGGGACCAACAAGTTCGGATTTCAAGAATGTCTCTAAAACAGACGAGGCGTCTTTACGTGACATTGTAGAGTCGACGAATGACGGTTGCTCGGGCTATTTTTTATCCCCTGGATCATTTGACGTGCATTGGAGCGGCATCGAAAAGGGTACCTTCATTTTGGGATTGTACATTTTCGAGAAAAATTTCGTGGAAGTTAGGAGATTCGTTGGAACGAAAGATATGGGGGCTTTGTTGTCGTTTTACTATGGAAAATTTTACGGTTCGCAAGAATATAAGAGATGGTCTGCTTGCCGAAAGACCAAGGGCAAAAAGGGTATTTACGGTCAGAGGATATTTTCCGGAGCAAGACAACAGGAGCTGCTGTCTCGGATTTTTCTGCGAGTTTCTGAAGAATGCCGAAACGCTTTATTGGAGGTAAATTACTTTAAAGTTTTATTATTAGGCATCAGTGCAAAAATAAACCTTTTTTGACATGATCTTGTTTTTTTATTCTACCGTAAGATAAAGAAATCGATGTTGACAAGCGGGCTTCTTTTTCTCGTTTTTCATTTTTTTGGAGTTAAGTAGAAAATAATTCCGAACGAAAAAGATTGAATTTTTATAAAGTTTTATTATTAGGCATCATTACTTGTATCTGAATCACGGTTTTTTTTTTTGACGACTCATCGTGTGCATGATCGTAAATCGGCCATTTTTTATTTTATTTTATTTATTTTATTATTAGGTGTCGAAAACATTTGCCGAAGAAAAAATGTCGTTAGCAGATTACGTCTCGTCGTTAAAATCAATGGTAGGGGTGAACATTCTAGTAGAAGCAGTTGCAATCGGAGCAGGTAAACGTGATCTCACCGGAGCATCTTTAGAGCCGTCACGATCATCCTATCCGACAGCCCACATTCGCTCGGAGATTCCCACCGGAAAAGCATGCTCCGCCCTCACAGCCAACGAAATCGCCCGATTCTTGTGCGGCAATTACCGCCTGAGCAAAGCTCGATCGAACGACCTGTTTTGGGAAGCCGTTTGGCCCCGTTTGCTTGCAAGAGGGTGGCACTCTGAGCAGCCGAAGAATCACACAAGCAACTTCTCTCTGGTTTTTCTATTGCCAGGTGTCAGGAAATTCTCTAAACGAAAACTCGTTAAAGGGGACGACTACTTCGACTCGGTTGCAGATGTTTTGAGCATGGTGGCTAAAGATCCTGGCTTGATCCAGCTCGAGAACGAAGAACAAGAAAAGGACGAAAAAGATGACGTCAGCATGACCAAGAACGAGGGCAATGGTGATGTCAGCATGACCAAGAACGAGGAAAATGATGATGTCAGCATGATCAAGAACGATGACAATGATGACGTCAGCATAACGAGGCAACAGCAGCGTCATTGTTATCTCCAACCGAGAAATCCGAAACGTAAGAGTGCCGTTGTAATGAAATTTACGGTTGTGGATACGAGCATGTCTAATGGGAGAGTGAGGGAGTTGAGAGAAATTTCGAGTGTTCCTATTGGTGGAGATGATGGAAATGACGAAGATGCCCTCGAGAAGAATAAGAAGGATTTTCAAGGGAAGAAAAAGTTACCGAAATCACAAGTCGGGCGGAAGACGAAAAAGCAGAGAAACGAGGACTATGTTGTGGGCCCCACCACGAAAAGGTGCCGTGCGCAAACACCTTGCAGTCACGAAGAGGTGGACGAAAATTTATCTTCTCAAGTGGGGTCCGCGAATCTTGATAAACCCTCGTGCGCCAGCTCATCGAAAGGGAGTCCAGTCGAAGAAAAAACCCCTCAGATACTCATAGACCTCAACTTGCCACAAGTTTGTCCGGATTCGGAATATAACGATTCGGTCAAAGTGGATGTGGAAGAAGAAGAAGGGGAATCTTTACAGAATATTCCACCGGCTGCTGAGGTTGCTGAGGTGGCAGCAGAAGAAGAGCCTTTACAGAATATTCCAGCTGCTGAGGTGGCGGTGAATGCGAACCAGCGGAGGTACAGTACGAGGAATCAAACTCCGACCATGAGGTCTTTGCAAGCTGTGGCGCACGGGTATTTGGCTGTGAATCATAGGAAGAGGAAAGGGAAGGAGGCTGCTTCGAACGATGATGTCAAGCCATGTCAGCGCCCACGTGGCGGCTGTGTGGGGCCCAATGAGTCTACAAGCAGTTCGGCAGCTTCGCAGGTGGAGGAATCTTCCGGAAATGGTGCTTCGACTAGCGGCAATGAATCTCAAGTTCCACCACCACCGGAGAATGACGAAGAAACGCGTGAAAAATGAGTTCGTTTTCGAATTAGGGTACTTTTACAGAGAGATGAAAATAAAGAGATAAGTGACATAGATTTTCTGAAATTTACTTAGCAAAGTATTTCTTTTGTTGTTGGAATCAACTTGTGTAGATTCTTTTTTTTTTTTTTTTTTTTTAGGTTAAGTTCTTGTTTAAAAACTACATATATATATATGCTTTGACTCACCCCTTTTTTTTTGGTATTTTCTTGTTCATTTTTTGCTTGAGATTTAGTTTAGCTTCATTTGCATATGAATATTGTAGATATTTTGATGAATTGTAATGGGATGTGATAAACGTCGTTTCAATTTTAATAATACTGTTTTCAACTTCAGACGTAATTTTGAATCGGTATTATTGAAACTGAATCAGACTTGAATCACCAAGATTTGTAGTTCTCCAAGTTAAATTTCTAATCCAGCTTGAATCACCAAAATTAGATATCGGATGAGAAAGTTATCCATGAATCAATCAGCACTTCCCACAAATTTGATATTTTAAATTATCTAAAATTCAAAACGTAAGTACGTAACTCATTAATGCAATAACTTTTTCATCCGACACCCAAATTAGCTGACTCGTGTTGAATTAGAAAGCTAACACAAAGAGCTACAAATCTCCATCTCCGTGTTTTGTATTTCGCCAAAATCGGACTAGTAAACGGTCAAAAACTCATTCTAAGTCTAATTAGTATAAGTAAAATGCAAACGACATTTAGCATTTCAGAATTGTAATTTGTAGTTTTAAGTAATAAAAGGTTTAAGGAAAAAGTACGTTATTGAGAACCATGCAAGAATGAAAAATAGTAAATATTCGTTTGAGAATATTTGAATTATCATAATTTTGTTTTTTTTAATCAAATGAAAACGAATCAATGGATGTTATAAAATAAAATATTACAATATTAAATTTTGGATAATATAATTAATTATCTACTTATGTAATATTTTTTTTTTACTATCTTTGCTTGAAAATAATGATTGTAATAGTTATTTTATTTACATAGTAACTCTGATCAACAATTGTCCACGTCAGCAGCCCATTTGGTCTATACCATTAAAAGAAAAATCCCTTTAAATAAGATGGATCTAAAGTCAACATGAAAGTTTGACCAACTTATCACTGCAAAAAATATATATGACATAATTGAATCCTACTATATTCCTGTGAAGATTCCTATGTTTGAAACAAAATGCAGTTCCTAAAACAATAAATGCACTTCAATTTTCTATGATTAAAAAGAAAATTAAAGGGTTAAAGAAAATCGATCCCGAAAAACCGAGGAAACAAAAAAAAAAAAAATCAAGTCGAAACGGACTCTAACCAATCAGAAGTAAATTCGTAAGCAACAAACGTAACAGCGCCAGCTGGCGCAGCTTTCACAATAGACGGAACGATGCCCTTGTAGAGCCCGGCCCAGCCCTCAGCCTGCATAATGCGAGTTAGCGCATCGTACATGTTTTTGTACGCATGGTGCTCGACTCTTGCTCCGTATCTTCTATCTCTCGGCAATCCTTCAACCTAAAAAGTTACAATCACGTAATACGTAAAGATTGTGTGTATATATATACACACACACATTCAAGTCTTGTTTTTATTTGCTTCGGATAATTAAGAAACCGTAGAAATGTTGATAATTGACACGCAGTGGAGTCAACATAGGGCTACGGGGGTCACGGCCCCTCCTCGGCTTCAAAAAAAAAATTGGAAAAGTTTTGGTCCTTTGTGTTGGCCTATTTACGAATTTAGTCCTATTATTAAATGCAATAACTTCGCAAATATAGTATACATTGATTTCGGCGAGTTTGTTAGCTACATCATTAAACAAAGAGTAGAATCCAAAGTTCGAGTGAAATAGGACCAACAATGCCGATTTTGCACAATTATTGCATGTAAAATTGAAATAGGATAACTTAAGGACTAAATTCCTAAATAGACTAACATAAAGGACCAAAATTACAATTTTCCCATAAAAAAAGGACAGAAAAAAAAAATCCGAAAGAAGAACTTCGACAGTGGAATAGAAATATACCTGAAATCTTTTCTTGACCACATCGAGTGGATGGCATACAGCTTTAGCACATGTTCCAGCAGCTAATCCACATAGGAATAGCTGGAAGCTCGATATTACATCGCCTCCTTCATTACCGTAAGGCGATTTATACCGATTATATACCTATAAGAGCGAGAAACACAAAGTCAAGATGATCCGTCTTTGCTAATGTGTGTGTATGTGTGCGTGCGTGAGAGAGAGAGAGTGAGTGTTTGTGTGTGTGTGTGTGTGTGTGAGAGAGAGAGAGAGAGAGCTATAAGAGCGAGAAACACCAAGTCGAGATGAATCCGTCTCTGTTTGCATTTTTGTGTGTGTGTGTGTGTGTTTGTGAGAGAGAGAGAGAGAGAGAGAGTCACCATCATCCAGCGTTTGAACGTATCGTAGGTTCCAAATTGCAAACCAGCATAAGGAACAATCTCAAACAGAGTCGGCGTAAGTCCAGCATATAGCCCACGAAAGCCACGTGTTTCAACTATGTCAACAAATGCCGACCTCATATTAGGATAAACCTGATCAACAACATTTAAAAAAAACAAAGACAAAAAAAATGATCAAGAACACAGCCACCTTTGCTTTTAGAAATTCCCAACTCGTTTACTAATTAGTGTTGATAAATTAATGAATAACTTAGACCATATAATGATCCATCCTTGGTCAAAAGGGCAAATGCATAATAATACCTTTGGTTCACCCTGTGAAGCTAAAATAGTTCTGAGAAGATCGAACGGATACGAACCAATAGTGGCGGCACATCCTGCTAAGGCCCCACTAACATACGAAAGATACGGACTTATATTGATATGGTCTTCTGCATAACACAAACACAAAGAAACACGAAAATCAATCAAATTGACCTGAATTAACCCAAGAAAAAAATTACGAATAGGAACCGAAAACAGGTTCGCAAACCTGACTTAGAAGAACCGGAAGCTAACGTCTTCAATTTGTGTAAGACTGTAAACTGTATTGCAGTATACGGCATAACCATAAGTAGGGCTGGTACATTGCCCCTCCAAAATCCCTGTTAAGTAACGAGAAAGATGAAATAATTAACGTAATGCAACAAAAAGTAAAGTGAAAATGAATAAAACCGATTCTTGAAATCACACGATTGTGAGATATGCCATAATGACTAAAAATACGACCGTTTGCCGCTTATTTTGTCCCTTTTGTTTACTTTTATTTTGCCGAAATTAGCTACTGTAATTGAGTTCTGAAATGAGGTTTTTAATTAAAACTTGCAGACGACTTCTCGATTCTGCTTCAGTTTTTTTCTCAGATTCGTAAATAGTACTAGAACTGACAGGGTACGAGCGATTAAGTGCTTAAGCTGTTCGAATCGTGTCTTTATTATCACAACACAAAATCCCTAGCAACCAAACGAAAAACGGAAGACTCTTACGAATCTTTCCAAAACAATAGCATTTACTTCTTTTTTCAAATTTCCGATTCTTTCACGAAGATTACGCCACTCTTTTTTGCACATAACGTAAGTATGGTAACACACATCTTTCGTCAAACGATTCCCCCAAATTTCAAAATCAAGAAAATCTGGCGAAATCCAACTCCCGAACTGCGCCATAACACATATTTCTAAATTATCAAGAAACACATGTTTCGGTAATCGTGGAGACTCTAGACATACCGAATAAACACATAAGAGAACAAAATATTAAACGGAAAACACCTTCTCGAGTTACATCTAACAATATTAAAAAAATGCCCAAAGAATCGATACCGGTAATCCTTCCTCCCTAAGTATGTCCTTGGAAGCTTGAACCATACCCGTATATTTCGACGGACCGTACACATCTCTACGAAGCAACGCCCATTGTGTAGTGGGTTCTAATTGAACCTACATACGACAAAGAAAACCCATCGCATATTAAAAAAAAACGCACGTTAATTGAATACGATGCATTATAATCAAATCAAACAAAGTATTCTTCTGATCAACCATGAATGCAATAAATCAACCAATTCAAAGCTGAGTTTTTCAGAAATTAAAAATATCGAACCTGAAATCGGATTTTGATCACATCGAGCGGCGATGTAACAGTTCTAGAAATACCGCCGGAAATCGCACCGGCGGAAGCATCAATTAAAGCCCTTTTCAGCTGCCCCGGTTCCTCCATTCCTCCTTCAATACCAACACTTCAAAAACCTGCAAAAAAGAAATACATAATTACAAACAAACCCCATTATTTTATTGCACAGCCAATTTCGTCCCCCAAAAATTCACCAGCAGCCAAAATTGGCACCGCCAACCACAAACAATTAAAAAAACAAAAAAAAAAAACCCATCAGATAATATCATAATTACATACCAAGTTGTCAGCTTACCCCAAAAAAATTGAGGCGAGGGTTTTTGAAGAAATAGGGATATAATTAATGGAATAAAAAGGGGATTTTTTTATCAGAATAAAAAAGCATATACTGAGTAGCAGGAATTAAACGATTATAGATTTATTTCTATATAGAAAAATTTAAAAAGAAATTAAACCTGTAAAGAGTGGAGGAGGAGAGAATGGAAGCATTGAACACCTTTTCAATAGAGTCAAAAAAGAGTTTTGCCATTGTATATTTGTATGTATATATATAGGGTTTGTGCCGTGTTTGGGGGGACCTTGTCCAAAAGCTAAAATTGTGAAGTTAAAAGAAAGATTTGCAGGTTTATTCTTTTGACCAAATTAATTAATTAGGAATTAGAGGTCAACCTTTTTGTGCTATGGTGTTTTGTCCGTCTGAACTGTTAAATGTCGTTTCAATTTTATTAACGTTTTAGCTTCAAACGTGATTTTGACTATTTTTTAGTCCGATTTTGGTAAAATTGAAAATATAGAAATCGTATGGTTAGCTTTCTAATTCATTATGAATCAGTTAGATTGGATATCGGACGATAAAATTATAAATGAATGAGTTACATTTTAATTTTGAGATAACTAAAAATATTAAAATTGTAGTCAGTGTTTATTGATTCATGCATATATTCCTTATCGGACATCCAATTTTGAAGTTGGATTAGAATGCTAGTTCGAAGAACTACAATTTCCGTATTTTGAGTTTTGTCAAATTCAGACTCTAAAATAGTCATAATCATATTTGTAATTAAAATAATATTATTAAAACTAAAACGACAATTGTAAGTTGGATTATTTGTTTGTATTTAAAAGTTGCAGTGTTTCGAAAGTCATTAAAAATTAATTTTAAAGATAATAACATTATAAATTGAAATTGCATAACGAAATTTAATTTTAATTTATTTTGGTAAAATATCTCAAATATAAAATATCTTTAAAAAATCAGTTAAAAAAATATTTGAAAATAATCCGATGTGGGTTGTGGGCTTTATTGTGACGTGGCCTAGTTTAAATTATGGTACCAATTAGACTTGTTGGGATATCTATACATAATCTTGATTTGATTTTTCTTTGGATAATATTATTTGAAATTTATGGCCCAATAAAAAAATATTTGGCCCATTATCATTCGGACTACAGAAAAATATGTAAGAAATATAACATATTATGTTGAAATAAAATTACTTGGCCCATTATCACTTTGAAATTTAAATTTTAGTTGGGGTCAAAATGAAATATTTCGAAAGATACTTTTCAATATTATTTTAATTTATATGTATAACTTTTGAGAGCCAAGAGTTGACTTGTCACACTTGCAAATATCAAATAGGCTTTTGGTAATGGACCAACCATCTCTAAGCAATTAATTATCTTTTTTATTTAATATGTAAAAATAAGAAATGCCAGGTACCATGACATATTTCTAAAAAGAATATTAGATTATTAATATTAACAATTATTATTATATTAGTATTTTTTTTCATCTTCTATTTTCTCAAATCACTTTCTTAGCAAATTGGATTTACAAATGCTCTAATAAAATCTTAATCCATTCTGATAGTTTTTTTTTAAAAAAAATTTGCAATTTATTTGTAAACAATTTATTTTGTAGTTAATATTCCTTTAAAATGTTAATTATTTCTTAAGAACAACAAATAAATTGAAAAAAGTATGAAAACTTACCGAAGCCACATAATTTAATTAGTTTTATGTTTTTTAATTGAATTTTATATCCATATTTGTAGGTGATGATGCTAAAGTTAGATCACCTTAGATAGTTGAACTAGGACGAGTTGAAAGAGCAAAGTAGATCACTGACTCACGAGCTTGATGATCTTGAGATACCTGCGATCATAGAACACGTAAACTAAGCCGGGGTTGATCCGGCGGAAACCCTCCAATGCTCAAGTCAGATGTGCTGATGATAGAAATAATCCTCAGAATATATATTGTAGTATTGCTCAGATAATAGTCTGTACCTTAAGAAATAAGTTTAAACATTTATTTATACCTCATTGTTTGGACTGAAGTTTAATTAGTTGAGATTGTCGAATCAAAATCTTATTTAAAGGTGATTGGGCGTCGATTGTTGTGGTCTTCAATATTGGGCTCGTGGCCCAATAGGTAAAAAATTATAGGCCTATTGGATTGGCGCAATTAAGCATATCAGTATAATATTAATGCAATGTGGTCATTTAAATTTCAACTAATTATTTTAATATTGTTTAATTATTTTTTCTAACTACAATTTCATTACTACATATTAATATTTTCTTCACTTTTGCCTTTTACAATACTACCCCGGGACAAGAGAATTTCTAGTTATTTATTAAACTAATAAAAATTAAAAGGCCTAACCATGGTTAAGAAAGTAATTAGAGTTAAGGCCATGGAAGAAGGCACCAAGTTAGCCCCCATAAAACGTGTGTTAGCAGCGTTGACTTTATTTTATGATAACTGCGTAAGCGTTGACTTGAGCAGTTGTTAACACGTTCACGGCAAAGTTCATATATCTACCGCCTCGCCATTTACCTCACACTTGCAATCTCCGTTTTCTCTCTCTAAAACTCTTCCTTTTTTTCTCTCTCTCTAAAACTCTTCCTTTTTTTCTCTCTCTAAAACTCCAGATTTATTTGCGAGCATACGAAGCAATCGATCTCGACAATGGATTACCGTAACCTGGAAATCACTCTCCAGGATGCAAAGGATCTGAACAAAGTCAACCTCATCTCCAAGATGGATGTATACGTCGTCGTTTCGATCTCCGGCGGGGATAAGAAATCGAAGCAGAAGACTAAGTCGCCGGTTGATCACGACGGGGACGCCAATCCGAAGTGGAATTTCACGATGAATTTCAAAGTGGATGAGTCGGGGCTGCAGGCGAACCGCCTCACTCTCGATTTCAAGCTCGTGTGCGAACGCGCTTTGGGGGATAAAGACGTCGGTGAAGTGAGCGTGCCGATCAAAGAGCTTCTCGATTCGCCGGCGAGGGCCGGCGGCGACGGCAAGCATTTCGTGAGCTACCAGGTCAGGAAGCCCAACGGAAAGCCCAAAGGCCAGATCGCCTTTTCCTATCAGTTGAGCGAAAAAATCGCCGGCGCCGCTTCGGATCCGTACGGATCGGTGGCTCCGGTTGGTAAGATCGGAACCGAACCCGTATCGTCGTACCCGGCTGGATCCGGTTCTGCTTATCCACCACCCGGATCTTACCCACCTGGATCCGGTTCTTATTATTCCGCACCTGGATCGTACGCGCCGCCGACTGGATACCCTTCAGCGGAGGGAACTGGGCATTATCCACCACCAGCTCCGTACAAAGCACCGAGGGCGCGGACATATCCACCGCCGGGTCAAGGCTAGTTGCAAAAAACCGGGAGGCACTTTTTTT